TTGGGTCAGGAAATCGATACTGAATCGAATCGCCATGATGGGTGTGATTAACACCCCTAGCTGCAGCCTGTTGATGGGTACTTGTTGATGGCATTAGAAGTATTTCTAAGAGCAATAGAAAACATTAAATTAGAGGTAGTCATTCCTGTATAAACCCTGATCTAGTTATTCAGTAATTCACCGTGAGAACACAAAAAATTGGAAATCACTCCCTCCAATAGAAAAGTTAAGAACATAGCAGAAACATACCACAAAATGCTGAAATAATAAAGAATATGTAATATAATACTTGCAAACACACATAAGAGATGTCTTTATAAAGGAACTGAGTTAATTTAGTAACATATTTTGACTTTTTTTTTTTTGCATATCTTAACCTTACCTAGTTGAACTGTTTATATATAAATCATTAAACACATGAAAAGACAAAGACATTTTAATTATGTAGACCCAGGAAATAAACAGGGGAACATAAAATATTTTGGGGTAACTAGCTTTTATTTTATTTTGCTTTTACTTTGAAAGGCTATGAATAAACTTCCGGTTCTGACAGTGCAGGTCTGCAGATAGACTCTCCTGGAAAAAAGTGGTGCAATTAACAAGTTCTCCTTATTTCTGACCTTTTGTGGTCTTTGCATTCTAAACCCTATGCTTTCCTGATCTTCTTTGAAATAGCCTGAAGCTAAATTAAAGCTAATCTGCTGGAGAACAGATCCACCTGAAACCTTCAGACCTTCATTGAAAATTCCTGCTGGAGGCTTTAAACAGTGCTGCCGGAGTGACCTGATTCTGGATCAGTGCATAATGAGATAAAGAGCTCACCTCCTCTTGGCTACAGTGCTCTCTTTCTCCCTCTTCTGGTGTTTTGCTGTAACTTCAGTCCCTGCACACGCTGTGATTTTGAAGATGATGAATCTCAGAGAAAACTGAAAAACTCACAGTTTAAATTGTTTAAACTAAAAAAAAAAAAAAGACCTGAAGGGATTTTAGTCCAAACTGATGTGGATCTGCTTGGTTTCCCGCTTCCAGTCTGAGTGGTGGCTGAAACCTGAAGATACTTTCCCTCTGTAGAGGCACGTTCAGGAGCGAAGCGATGCTAAAGAGGCAACTCTAGTGATGTGAACATGATCTGTTACAGAGTATATTTCATTTTTGTTAAACTGCTTGGAAAGCATAATTTTTCGGGTTCAAAGCTATCTCATAGCCAGTTAAAGGTAACATGAAAAAATCAAAAGTTTTAAAACTATTATTATTCTGTTTTGTAAACAAAAAACATAATCACATGATGATATTGCAACAATGCTTCCAGATATGTAATCCTTTTAATTAATAATTTATTAATTAAAAAACCACCTCATATTCCATATTTGAACCCATTTAAAAGTTACAAAAACAAGAAAGTTTTCCAAATTTTTTGATATGTTAGATCATAAAAGTAACTGCATACTTACTTTGGCTAGAAACTAACTAACTGAGTTACTCAGTTACTTTTCTTGAGAAATAATTAGCAGCTATAACAGGTTAGTCCCATCACTGTTCAATCTTAAACCTAATTTTAAAGTCTATCATCAAAAAACCTCTAAAAAATGTTTTTCATTATTTTTAGTTAAATGTTAGCAAAGACAGTTAAAACTAGATGTTTGATCACATGAAAAAAAGGAAAATTAATTATATGTGAGAGAAAGAGGGTATGGCAAGCCAATTAACACTTTATCGTTCGGTTTTTATTGAGAATTACCAGAATTTAGTACGTTTACATTACGTTTTTAAGTTAGTTTGTTTGTTTTTAGATATCAAAACTTATACTATACTTTATGCTATAATATATCTAGATACTATACTATATTTTTATATTAAAGGAAAAGTCTGGTCAGCAAGGAATTATCAATGGATCATTATCTATACCTAAAACTAATACGTTTGCGGTGATTTAATTAATTGAGTCTGGGAGCGGCCATTTTTGCCAAAATATAGTAACCCCTCCCTCCTGCCATCTTCCAGCAGTGACATCACGGTGCGGTAAGCCTAGCGCCATTCTCCCCGCTTTACAAGCAGAATCAATGGGAACTACTAGACACATCTGCAATCAACAACAATTATTGAAATTCACCAGAGCTATAGT